ACACTATTTTCGATCTTTATCACTGTATTAAATTCAATGCATTAAATAAACATTTAGTCACACTCGGCGTGACTAATTTTTGTCCATAATGTCTGTACTTCACTGTCTAAAATAATTGAACCTAGATATAGTCCATATCTAACGAGATAGTTGAGATACACAAGCATATCTTTAATTACTGTCTTGCAATAAACCAGAAGAATTGAAAAAACAGTCTTACATGTTCAAGTTTAAGAACTAACCAAGTTTGTACTAATGACTTCGGGTGACGGTCGTAATCTTTCGACCCTCTATCTTGAATCCGAGCATCCCTTCCTACGTACTTTACCACTGTTCTTAAATCATATTCGTAAGGTTTAATCTTATCTTTTTTATCATTGCCACTACATTTCTTTGATCCAATGTCACTCATATCGTCGTCCTAATCAGGTATGACAGCTCGCGGCAACGCACATCTTTAGGGAGCTCTGTGTTGATGTCTATCAGTCTTCTAATGATATCTCTAGCTCATTTTGAAGTAGGTAAAAGCGCTGTTCCCAATACTTATTGCACAATTTTCAGTGTCGACATAGATTAGTCGTATTTCTTGGATATCATTGAGTTTTAATATCTTCATCTTTGATCGGTCAACGTCAACCAAATAATGCACGTGTGAGAGCGAATTGAGTGATTAAATTTTCTTAAAGCAGTGCATGGAAAGTATGAGGCATCACACCCGATTCAGCGTTACAAAGACCTCTACACTTTCAGTGGCTGCTCTATTAATCAGCCTTGACTTAGTGTCCGTCCTAGCAAATCCACTTGTGTCCGAGCAAAAAAGTGCATTGGTATTCGTGTTCCTTACTGTATTTTGCATAAATCCATCTAAATAAAAAAAGTCAGTGATAGAAAATCATTTATACATCCAATTAAAAAAATTGAAACATGAAATTACTTTTTATTCTGAACAAATCAAAACGTAAATGTATGTAGTTTACTCATTTTCATTCGCCTCCCAAAGTGCCGTTGCTAATGTCAGACTTCCTATTAAAATTTCAATGAGCATGATTTATACGTGATGGTCGCAAATGCCGACCATTAATAAGTTTCTTACACCGTTTTACCTTTAATTGTCACATTTTAGTTCCATTTTAAATACTTCAATAAATATTGTCTTATTCTGATACTAACGATACTGTACCTCAAATGCTCGGCTTTATTATTTGACATGAATCTCTTCTGGTTATTGTATTTCAGTTGATGTAACTTTATCTAAATTACCCATTTTACCTAACAACTTCATAGGGTGCTGGTGTCAACCAGTCGAAAATGATTAAAGGTATGGTATTTCGTCGGGAAACCGAAGGAGAGGTCAAGGAAGTTTTTAATGGAAAAGTTGCAATTTTCTCTTGCCCCGTTGATGCCCTTCAAACGGAAACAAAAGGAACAGTTTTACTTACATCTGCGGATGAACTCACAAAATTTAGTAAAGGAGAGGAGGACTTGATGGAAAAAGTAAATTATTTTTGCGTGTGTTTACCTGAAGTATTTGTTATAATTGAGATATGGAAAGTATACTACTTAGTTTGATAGCTATTGCGATTTAATGTCGATCACTGATTCAAGCCACATTATTTATTACAAGCAAGACAAACTACTTCATGTGAGTCCCCTGAATTTGGGTTTTCACTTAGCTAGTTTACGACAAAATTTTTAAGTTTCACTTGCAAAATCATAATACTGTAGACCAAACACGTTACTTATTCTGAGCTGTCTTTCAACCGCAAACAAAAAGCATACTTTTACCATCCCATTTTAAATTGTTTTATTTATTTATTTATAACTTTCACACCTTACTAGCATTATAAACTGTAGATACAGTCGGAACCTATAACTCTTATTACCTTTTGTAATTTACTCACTTGTCACTAATATTACTTTTTCAGCATATGCGTTCTCTTTCGGATGCTGGAGTGAAAGTTATCGTTAGTGGAGGCAAAGTTGGGGAATTGGCACTACATTACGCCAACAAATTGAATATGATGGTAGTAAAGCTCAGCAGCAAGTTTGACGTTCGACGTCTCTGTCAAGCAACCGGTGCGTCAGCTCTCCCTCAATTAGTAACACCCACTCCTGAGGAACTTGGGACCATTAGTCATGTTTATTCGGACGAAATAGCTGACGCAAGTGTAGTTATTTTCGAACAAGGTTAGTTCACTGGGATATCATTCTACCTGATTTTAAAAAGTTCTGATTACTACAGTCACAGTTAATAATTTCTATTTCTGATTTATAACAGACACACATGAGGGAACCGTCGTTACATTATTGATTCGGGGAAGTACGGAAAACATAATGGATGATGTTGAACGTGCTATTGATGATGGTGTCAACACATTCAAATGCCTTACACGTAATCCTAAATTGGTTGCAGGTGCCGGAGCAACAGAAATAGAGCTGGCTCGCCGTCTCGTATCGTACGCTGGTACAGTACCTGGTCTTGAACAGTATGCTATCAGAGAGTTTGCCCGGGCTTTTGAGGTTGTTGTAAAAGTACTTGCCGAAAACTCTGGACAGAAGGTTTGTGAGCTTTAATATATTTGTCTAATTTTTACTACAAGTTCATATAAATAAAGCTAGTGTCACAATAACTGTCTTGTAATTTTATTGGTTTTTGCTTTATCGGGCACATCAAGAATTGATTTTTGTGTATAAAGGTACTCTATTTTCATGCGACAGTAATCCCCAGTGTTTTGAACCAGTCTGTAAACATTGTAACAGACAGCTCTTTGTAATGAGAGTGTTGTTACTTATTCACATGTACGAAACAGCTGTCCAGTGCTTCCAGGTTTTCAATAGCTTTCCAATCTAAATCGGTTCATAATTTTAGTAACATTCTACAATTTCGTCAACCTCATACTGACAAAGATTTTTTTTCTTTTCATCTGTCTTTTTATAAGATCACTGAAATAGTTGCTATTTTGTACGCTAAACATGAATCTGGTCAAATACATACTGGTTTAGTCACTCAACCAAATGGTGAAGTATCTGTTAACGATTCTGTCAAATTCGAGGTTTTGGATCTCCATCTTTTAAAACATTGGGCTATTCGACTTGCGACAAATGCTGCGAACACTATACTCCGCGTCGATCAGGTAAACATTTTAAAATAAATTGTCAAATGTAGGTGTTTTCATGTAAATATATTAATCTAGTAAGTGTTAAGTCGGTTGATAATGAATACATTTACAAATACTTTGATGCCTTTAGTTAAAAAATCTATTTTCTTACAAAGCGTAGTTTTCGTTCCGCTCAATATTTGTCCCTTTGAGTTTAGAATAGAGATTTGACTTATTATTTGTAGTGGTAAAAATAAATTATAAGCAAACTATAAAAGAGTAATATCAGATTTACGAGTGTTGATCGCTAGAAAAATGTTCATATCTAATTAGTCATATTTCTTTTGATATTCGAATTCCACAGCACTGCTATATTTATGTCAGAAACAGCTCAGTAACCACATACATAGTTGAATGAACCCTTAAGCAGTACATTTCATGCTTCTGTTATACCATCATTATCAATGCATAGAATAAACTGTCTATCATCTATATATCCCTCTTGAATTATTCATACTGACAATGTGTTGCATTCTGTAATGGTTATTAGACCACTGAGATACTATTAGTTGACGTATATCTGATTTCAGATTTCCAGAAGATTAATCTGTCTCTCCCTTTGGTCTATGCCTGTTTTTTAACTCACTTGTTTCGGAAAACTTTTCAGATTATTATGGCACGCCCAGCTGGTGGACCGAAACCTCGTCAACCAGGAGCTATGGATGAAGATTAATAAATAACACAATAAACCCATTAATAATAACAATGATAGGTTTTTGACTGCATTCGTGTTGTTGGCTTCTCGATTATCTCATTGTAATGTATATTTCGAATAAATTACTGTGAAAAATCTGCTCTTTTTTCCTGGTTTCAAATGGTTTTTCAGCCATGTTCATTTTTTGGCTTCTTCCTAAAGCCTGATTGTTTGAATACCTAAATAAATATGTTACAATGCGCCGTATTATATTTGCAGAAATTAAGTTAAAAATAGTAGTTATGAAGCAAAGAAATAGTATCGTCAGTGTGATGAATATGTTTGACAGGTCTCGTTCTGAAGGATTGCTCGCAACATGTAACTTTTTATTAGCAGAAATGGATGGTGGCTAGCAATAATGTCCAGGGTATTCACTTCGTCTTATTTTGGACCTTTCATCTGAATGTGCCTGCGTCCCAGAGTTGGTGTTCAATTCAGGACTCAAACTCATTACCGTTTGTTTCGAAAACCATCGCGTCCGAATACGTGTATTTCAGTTCAACAACACGAAAATCTTTATGAACACAATGAGTCTTTATTGCACTTTTTATAAGTTAATATTTCGTGGCCAAAAGTGGTTGTATTCACCCTTGTTCATGTGGTCAGATTTTGGTTTTACCGATTAAACTTACGTAACCTGATTTCTTTTGTATAGAAATAGTATCAATGACAACTTGACGGCTAGTGTTTGATAATCGTCTCCAAATCAGTCAGTCAGCTGCAACGTAAGACCAGGCACATATGTGCATATCATCAATCCATTTATTTTGTTTTTTATGTTATGCCTAAATTAAAAATGGTGTGTACATTTTAGTGAACTATTTTTATGAATTGTTTGAGATACGTACATTATGATCATAAAGAATTACTAAGTATTAGTATTATAATTATCTTATTACACATCATCGATGCTTGGGAATCAATGTTGTGGTTAAATGGTCATTAGTGCTCAGAAAACTAATATTTTTCAAGGTTATTCGGTAGCCCCCCTCACACAGTAGTGTGAGTTATAGGTTTAATTGAAGTTGTTGATAAGCTAGTTAACGATGTCTTACAAAGAATTGCCATTTGTAAATCTACATTCTTATATATCACATATATTTCGGTTCTTTCTTGTTTAAGGATTCAAACTGACGCTGTTGTGTTGGGAATCATATTACTAATTTTGTTAATCTTCTGTCCCATACATGTACGCAGACCATAACTCAAAATTTGATGACAGTTCTTATCAAGGACATGAAGTTGTTGATTCTGCAGATGATTCGGATGAACCAGTCGATCCCGAATTCATTAATCTTTTAGAAGATATTGAAGGTAATGAACATGAGAACATCGATCTGTACTCCGTATTGGGTGTTGACAAAAATGCATCGGCAGCTGATCTGCGCATGGCATACAAACGTCTTTCCCTGTTGTTCCATCCGGATAAGCATTCTATTTCGACACCAGAAGATAATGAGAAAATTAATTCAAATTCATCTGATGCGGTGGCTGCATTCAGTCAAATTGCTTCAGCTTATGCGATTTTAAGCAATCCTGAACAACGTGCTATTTATGATAGTTTTGGTTATAGAGGTTAGTCAAGTGGATTTTGCGCCAGTTTTATTTATACTGATGAAATAAATAATTAAAAAATCAGACAATTCACTATAGTACCTTAGCATATATTGTTTAAGATATTCGTTCACTCCACATGTGTGTTGACGGGTTTTCAAACATATTAGGAAGGAATATTACTTCGATAGCGTATTCATATTGTGTAAATTACCAGGATAGTTTTCTCGAGTGAAATCGGACCGTTGCGGTGATCGAGCTTGCCTATCATGATGAACAAATCGAGCTACACTGACTTTGACAATCGTTCCTCAAGCTCCTGCCATGCCAAGCAGGTCGATTGGAGAGCGGTGAGACTAAAAGTAGCAAACCCAAGGTCTGAAGGTGAAGTCGTACTGCTGACTGTACAGAGGTGTGACGGCAGTAAGGTGTTTCCTTCAGACAACTAGCATAGCAACGATGCTGCCTTCCCACAAGGAAGAGTGGGTTTGGAAAAAATCGACCCTAAAAATACACACATCGTCTTATCCAACGGATATCCGTCTCCGGCGGTAAGGTCTCAACAAGTACGAAGCTAACACGAAAATTTCTTACAAAAAGGTCGTGTGGTACCGACTTCAGGCAATTGTCCCTTGGGCACTGCGGTTACGCTCTCAGGTCACTAAGATCACTCCTAACCCACTTTCCTTTTCATATGCCTCCATAAGAATTCCACGATGTGGGCAACCGGAAGGTGATAACCACCCTCATACCTCGTACAGCACCCAAGATCACTTTATTCATAATCAATTTCCCTCTTCAATTCCTGTTATTCCTCCCACATCGACTCTCACCTTAGTCTTTTGACTTCAAGTGTCATCATAGCCAACTATTCTAGTGCGCAAAACACTGCCATAGGTGTACTAAAACCTCGCTCCAAACTACACATTGGAGCCTTCAACGTACACGCACTGTGTCAAATCAGCCAACAGGTCTACTTGACTGAGACTCTAGAATCTCATACCATTGATGTATTCTGTCTCCGAAACACGCATACAGGATCCTAGTGTGGTCATTCACTTGACCTCACCTCGACAAAAAGGGAAAGCCAACGAGATACACTCTTCGTGTATCTGGCGATCCGATGACTAGTTCTCGTGGACTGGTAGCTGTAGGCGTATCACTAAGTACGAGGGCGGAACAAGCACTATTATAGTAGATCTCTGATAACAGTCGCCTATTTGCTGTTCGGCTAAGTGGCTCCGTAAAAACTCGTGAGGATAGGGACACACGTCGTCGCCTTTTTGCTGTATCTGCCTGCGCTCCCACTGACTGCAGCCCGGATAAATTGAAAAATGACTTTTGCAGAAAGATTTCTAAACTTCACCAAAAAAGCTGAACGCTCAGACATAGTACTCGTAGGGGGTGACTTTAATGCCCAGGTAGGTAGCTTAAACCAAGCAGAAAGACATTTATGTAGGAATTTCGGTAGTCCGACTCAGCGAACAGATAATGGTGACCGTCTGCTGAACTGTGCTCAGACAGTCGTTTAATTTTAGCAAGCACTAATTTTGAGCATAAGGAGAGACATCGTCTAACATGGCGACGCTAATAAAATGAAGTCTTTTAGTAGCATTGAGCAACAATGCCAGGATGTTCGGGATGCATTTCTCCCCCTATAAATGCAAGTCGTTGCTTCAGAACTGGCCTCCGTCAACACCTGAACTAAGGGTAGGGAGTGAAGTGGTCGAACGCGTTGACAACTTCACTTATCTTCAGTCTGATCAGCCCTAATAGGTTAGTGTCTAACGAAATCTCTTCACGGATTGAGAAAGCTCGTTTGGCTTTTGCCAACTTACGTCACCTATGACGAAGACGAGATATCCACTTATCAATTAAGGGACGAGTATACTGCACAGCAGTTCGTTCCGTTTTACTTTACGGCAGCGAAAAGTGGCCATTAAGAGTAAAAGATACTCATAAGCTACTAGTATTTGACAACAGATGCCTTAGAAATATTGCTGGCGTCTGCTGGGATCACCGGGTAAGTAATAGTGAGGCTAGACACAGGGTATTGGGGAATGATGGCTAATCAGTTGATGAGGTTGTGAATTTTCATCGACTGAGATGGTTGGGCCACATGTTGCGTATACCTGGACACCGATTGCCACGACGCGCAATGCTGACTAGTGTTGGAGATGGTTGGGAGGAAGTTAGGGGCGGCCAAACCAAAACGTGCCATCAGTCCACAAAGTCACTAACTTCTAGTCTGAGCCATGTTGGTAGATGAAGACTACTTGATTGAGGTCCGCGTGACTATCAGAACCAATGGTTGGAGACTGGGTGACATGGCTCAGAATCGGTCACAATGGCGTCGGTGTATACATTCTTTTATCTTTCTTTAAACTATGAGATTAAAATCACTTTATATCTTTCTTTCTACGAACTAATTCTATCTTCCCGTACTATGTCCTCATATGCAACCCTTCTTTAATATATTACCACCACTGAATTAACTACTATGAATTCGGTGTTCATCTTGCTGTGCTAATGAGATATGGCAACTTGGACCGATCCACACATGTGCCTGGTCCTACCTTGTTGCTGACTGACTCTCGAGTAACATTGATGTTTATGGTATGTAAATGACATTAGACTAATCTGTGTTCCTAAATACTCCAAAGCTCAAAATAAATATATACATACGTTTTAGAATCTTAAGGATCTCAGAAATTTAAACTAATAAAGTAATTTTGTTATGTAGATTGTTCAGCTGTGTATATCAAGTCTTTTGTTGATATTCAGCCATATTTCTGACTTTCAAAGAAGGTGAGTTATTCGCACAACTATAGTCCCAGCTCAGTATCACATCGTTCGATTGCTGTGATTAGGAATTTTTATGTGTATTGTATATAACTCATATTTAAGCATGAGAAATTATATCCAATGTCCAAATTTATCAGTACAATTCAGTCACAAGTAAAATAGAACGCGGGATATGTCTATATCACCTCAAGTGTTCACATAGCGACACACACAAAAAAAGAAATTATCGAGACGAACATCGAAGTAGAATTGAAAATCATACACTGTATTCCTAATTATTTCTGTTTATAAATAGCTTCCTATTTTATTATGTTGGTGCCAAAGTATCTATTTCTTTTAGCCAGAGTAAACTGTCACATCCACAGTTATTTGCCCAAAAGTTTATTTGGTTTCTGCGTAAAAAATTCACTACATTCAAGTTTTACACTTATTTTTGTACAGAATTTACCTTTAACCATACCCATCTTATAGATTTCTTAATCTCCTATTGTACTATTTACCTGACAATATTATTTAGCGTAAACTACGTTTGTATCCATATCTCTATTCAGACGTCAGTCTGATGTAACGTCCTGTTCACCTCAGTCTTTCATCCAGAATCATCGAACGATTTCAAAAAAGATTTAGGTGGTTTTCCTGTTAGTGATTGTTATGGATTATGTGATACAAAACGCTACAATCAACCTATTTTACAACACCTTGTAGGGTTGCAAATGCAGGGGTGGCAAATAGCGAGTTTTCAAAAATCAGCACCTGAACTTCGTTTGGAATATCTTCTTTTGAAAGAAAAAGCTCGAGTTTCAAAGCAACTTCAGTTGACACAACCAACCTCGGAATTTTCTCTTGGCTTAGATTTAACGGATGTTTTTGATCGTTATTTGAAGGTTAGTTGATATATTAGACATTTGATAAGTCCTCAAAAATTTTCCATCCTTTACTGTTCATGTTGAAACTGCTTAGGATAAAGGTGTAGAACATCTTATTTTATTCTCTTATCTGTGAAAGTTCGTGAAACATATTAGGAAAGTCAGGAGGATTGTGTAGACGTCAAATTCTTGGTCATAAATCGTTTCAAGTCACTTTTCGTGTATGTTGATACCTCCAAGTGATTAGTGTCGAGGCTTAACGTATTGTAATAAACAGATGTGCTGAATCAGTCGATAGTAATGTAAATCTTCATTGACTGATATTTTTAGGACATGTATTACCTGCATCTAAACACCACCCACCTCAACGCACAATGTTTGCTGAGGTTGGAAGAAAGCTAGGGTTCAGCTAAACCAAAAGATGACATCAGTTCACGAAATTATTGACTATTGGGTTTAGCTCTATCAGTAGATAAACCTAGAGATTAGACGTCTCAACTGTATGTTTACTCAAAAACTCTTAACTTGCAAAAACTCTCCAAGTATGTGGAAATTCTTTAAAGAACTTACAGATGACAGAAAGTTTAGAATCGATAACCAGCTGAATGTTTGTGACTTAAATAAGTCTTTTGTACGTCAGTCATCTGATGTGATGCTCCTTCTGTCCATGGGTTTAAAAAATAGCTGTGTTCCTACTTTCACTGAAACTGATGTCCGAGGATGTCTCCAGTCGCTTAATTCATCTCGAAGTTTGGGACCTGATGGTATCCCAAACATCCTTTTTAAAAAATGTGCTGACGTTCTGTGTCATCCGTTCACAACTATATTTAACAGATCCTTCTCATCTAACCTCATACCGAAAATGTGGAGAAAGATGAAGATAATTCCTGTACCCAAGAAAGCATTTGGTGATAAGAATGTAAAATTTAGACCTATTGCAATAACTTCACCCTTCCTCAAAACCATGAAAAAATTATTAATACTTCCACTTCAGCCTGCGATAAAAGAGCATATTGATCCATATCAGTTTGCTTACAGACGCAAAAGAAGCACCTTAGATGCTGTTGCTGTTCTGCATCACAACATAGTGTTCAACTTAGAAAAGGGTCAGAAGTATGTTCGATGCTCTTTTCTGGACTATACTTCAGCTTTTGACTCTATACCATGACAACGTTTACTTAACAAGTTAATCAGCGTCAACACTGACAGCTGGATAACCAACTGGCTATGTTCCTACCTCTGTGGAAGGGAACAATACACTGTGTTTGGAGGAAAGAGTTCAGAGTCTCTACTGTCTCATGAAGGTGTACCACAAGGAGCTGTTCTTTCACCTCTTCTATTCTCTTTTTTTCTGCATGACCTGCCATCTTCCACAGAAAACACTTTTGTGAAGTATGCGGATGACCTCACTGTATGTATGCCTATATCTTCCTCTTTACATCCCATAGAAATGAATGAGTTTTTGTCTCGTATTGATTGTTGGTCTGTTGGTAATGGTCTCATACTTAATCCGTCTAAATGTCAAGCTGTTAACTTTAGCATGAGACATAAATGGAATATAAACACTATTTTGAGATCCCATAGTGCTTGTACCATCGGAGACTCTTTGATAAACTCAGTGTCGAAGGTCAATTATCTTGGTGTCACCTTTTCCTCTGATCTGTCTTGGTCTTCCGACGTTTTATCGTTATCGAAGAAGGTTTTCCGTCTGACCTACTACATAAAGAGATTGCATGCTCTTGGAATTACTCGTCATTTTCTCTTACAATTTGTCAATTCTTGGATATTACCTATTATTCTTTACTGTTCTCCATTATTCTTTCCCGTGCTTTTGAGAAAAGACTGCTGTATTGCGAAGAGCGCTGAAGGCAGTTAGCGAGATGTGTGGTGAACCTTTCGAGGTCATAATTAATATGGTTGTGGATAGACATTTAAAATCATGCAAACTCCTGGCAGGTGTTATTTTATCAGATACTAGCCATCCCCTTCACTCTTATCCTTCTCCTTGTATATCTTCTGGTAGAACGATGCATAATTACATTGAAATCCATGCACGCAAGGAAAAGTATAAAAGTTATATAATACCTTACCTAGCAAATATACTCTGTGACGAACAGGTTGTTAGAATTAACCTAGTCGATAACTTACATTCTTAACATGCCATTAATTTTAAAAAGTTCGTAAAGTTTTTTTTGAGTTTTTTTATATTTTTTTAAAAAACTTTTTTTAAAATTATTTCTTTTTGTATTTGCTACTGCCTTTTTGTTCGTTGTTCAGTAAGTAACTTGTTGAAATACCCTGTGCCGAGAGTTCTATATTGTACCAAAATATAATATTGAATAAAGCCATTAATAATAATAATAATAATAATAATAATAATAATAATAATAATAATAATAATAATAATAGATCCGTACCACCGGGTTTAAATCAATGAGATAACTGAAATCAGTCGTTAGGCGGCGTTGCTTAGAATCGACTACAATTGTGCAGATGTAAATAAAATCAACTATTTTGTTCGAAGATGATTTCTTGTGCAACATGCATTTGTATATAGGTGGACGTAGATAATTGTATGGTTTGTTATCTGATCGACCAATTTCACTCGTATTTTTGTATATGGTGTGGTGTTGGACGGGTTCGGTATGATTCCTTTGATGAATTTTCCAGTTTGATTAGATTCTCGGTCAAGCACATTTGAATTTAGCAACACACTAAGCAACGCTGTTACTTGTTTTACTTTACTGCTGAGGAGGCACTTCCGAATATTTTTACTGTGTTCTTGATGTTTTTGAATGTGATATACACGACTGTTGTCGATTTGATTTGTAGATTTTCGAGTTCTGTAAAATTATCAAGTCTTTTTGCATAGCGCAGACGTTCCTTGGCACGGATCAAGATTCCATTAATGGTTATCACTAACTTTTAAATTCAGTTCTATGTTGATATAGATGAAATTTTGTCTTTTGTCCAAACGAAAACATTTAAAAGTTGGTTGTTTCTTTTTAGAATCCTAAAGTTAAACGTAAACAGTATCATCTAAACCATTAATTCTAACTATCTATCATACTGCAAAATCATGTAATGTAATATTCATCACTATATTACTCGTAATTATAATGCTTGGTGTGAAGCTGATTTATCTTATTGTTTATTTTATCATTGTAGGAGCCACCAGAGGATCGTTCATTGATTCCAATTCCATCAATTTATGAGCTTTCTGTTGCTCAATCTATCAATGCTGGTATCAGCATAAAAAACTCAGTAAGTTTAGCTGGTCAGGTGACAGCCCATAATGGTGTAGGGATAGGGACATTTCTTGCTATATGGCGGCATCACTGCTCCAGAAATTCAATTTTCGGTCCAACTACAATCGATACCGAGGTGAGATGATAATTTGTTACTGAATAAACATTATATCCAGTTCGTTGTATAAACTTCAATAAATTTTTATGCGCTTTACTACTTAAACTGTTCAAAATTTTTATTTTGTTTTTCTCACAGTTTTCTTACGGTCGCGCTGGTCGTGGATTGAGTACTGGTATACGAGCGAGGCGAACTTTTGGACAGCGTCTCCATGGTAGTTTAGGTTTATCTCTAGCTAGTTTATATGAAAGATCTCCCAAGTCGAGTATAAATCTAATCCCTGGTATTTCTGCTGGTGTAAATGTCCAGTTGTTATCTCATGTACATGCACACTTGGAGTTACGTTGTCTCATGAATCCAGGTTTATCGAGTGAATTGTTCTTTACTTCTGCTGACGGTGAGTATAATGCCCGAATTTCATGTAAACTTAACGCATCCGGTTATGCAAGCCTTTCCCTGTTACTGGAAAAGTCCGTCTCGTGGACTTGGCTAAATCCACCTCGAGGATCTGGTGTAATTGATAAAGAAAATGTTCCTGGACCTGATTGTGATTGGGCAGATTCAGATAATTGTGATTTGGAACAACAGCGACGCGGTAAAGGCAATATATCATGCACCATTGGTGTTAACACCACAGACATTGGTGAATTCTCTCTAGGTGCACAGTGTCAAATTTCCGCTCATTCTAGAATCGCAGGTCAGATTCGTCTGAGCATTCAAAAAGGTGTAACTGTTAAAATTAGCCTTTTACGAGGTACTCAGACATATTCTTTTCCTTTTATTCTATCTGATCACCCTGACAGAGTTGCTTTTGGTTACGGTTTAATTTTCCCCATACTTGCATTTTCGGCTATTCGCGTGTTGGTCTATGAACCTTATTTATCTCGTCAATTAAAAATTGCACAAAAGTTTCGAAGAGCTAAACTGCGCGAAGAACTGAACAGAAAACGCCGTGAAGCATTGTCCACTCAGGAACTCATGAGAAGAGCTGCATCACGAAGTAAACGGAATGAAATGTCTATTTCCGGTCTTATCATCGATCAGGCAATATATGGTTGCCTTTCACCAACCTCTGATCCCACTACTTTATCTGATGCTGGTGGTCCACTTACGTTTGATGTGACTATACCCCTCCAAGCTATGATAGAAAAAAGTCACTTACGCTTACCACCTGGTCGGTGGTGTGATTTCCAAGGTTTCTATGACCCCTGTGTTGGTTTATTAGAAAATCCACGTCAACTTCGTGTGTCATATACTTTCCATAATTTCCCTCATGAGGTCACTGTCAATGAAAATCAAGGTCTAGCTATCCCAATGTCCAAGCATAAAGTTGCAATTCCTTAATTCATGTAAAATGATCTCCGCGTTGTCTTTCAACTTAGTTAATATATTATCTCCACCGTGCAACCTTTCGTAGGAATCTTGACGTACTTCACTGTTGCACGTTGTTGTCATTACTCTCTTGTAATCCTATCGTTTTCATTTTGTTTGGAAATTGAGCACAACACTATCTGTTTGGTCCTTGCATTCTACAGATGAAAGCATTTAATCCCAGTGATTACCTCTGTTGATCTTGATTGTAGATAAAATAATTTTTATTCTGAATATATTTTCCCAATTCATTATAATGAAGTTGCACATCTTTTCATTTATGTTCCATGCTAGTTAGCTGTACAGTTATTAAATAATGTTCATAGATAAAAACAACACTTAATCCTTTTTATTATTTCTTTAATTTACTTCATGAATTGCTATGGTTGTTCGAAAGTGGAAATTAGTCACACACACTCAACGTTAATCCAACCTTGGGTCATAAATAACCTAGTGATCATAGGCTTCGTGTTCTCTAAAAAGATGTCGCTAAGAGCCCGGGGAAACTGCTTGCTCTCAAAAGTTCTAAAGCATACTTGTTAGCAATTTTTTATTAAGCTCTTTTTATACAAATTTTGATCGATTTCATTTTTAATTTGTAAGAAAAAGATAAATGTATCATAATCGTAGTAGGATCGAAATCTACTCTTTCGCTGCATGGCTAGAGCTTGGTAAAAATGTGTCGCTAAGGAATATGTGTTAATTCAATAACAAGAATGAAGTATCCAATTGCGCCAAACAATTCCGATGTTTTTTAGTTCTGGTAAATAGTCTGATCACAAGCAGAACTTTATGGAATTCAAAATAATTAATCTCTTCGATCAAATTGGACAATATAGTGTGACATAGTCCCGATTAACTTTGTCTTCTCATCCTATTGTCTAAAAAAATGCATAAGCAATCGTTATTTTTGAATAATGTTAATCAGTTTTATTGATTACGCGTTATGATTATGGGCGATATAAACTACAAGGTGGAAACATGATGTTCTTTTGTTTTGATACTCGAAGGAAAACCTGATACAAATTCCGAAGTAGTACATTGTTTCTTTGTCAGAATAAGTCCACTCTGTAGGTGTAATAAGATGATCTATCACATGTATGGTTCCTCGTTATTATTTCCGTCCATCCTGTTAAACTAATTTATTAGTCCCGACCGGAATGTTTTTTCATGTTATCGCTTTGAATCTATGATACTCGGAGATAAATATTTCAGTTCTTTCTTTAAAACCGCTAAATGAAATTAGCAAAGTAGATTTTAAGCTTGTTATAGAACGAAAAGCGAGAATGTTTCAGCGTGACAGTTGCACATAACAACATAGACAATGTGTGCAATATTTGCCTGTCTGCTGGTTGAAATCAAACTATACAGTCAATTACACATTAAGTTATCAAGATTATAAAAGTACGGTTGCATTACGGAAAATCACGGTTCAATACAACAGATTAGTTATGTGTTAGGACGAAAACTGGGACTTCCAAAGAAAATCAAGACGCAAGAAAACTAAATAAAAATAATCCGACTTGTAAGATGTGAAATTACAAAATAGTACTTTACGTAAACAATGTTTATTTGTAGTATTAACATGTAAAATATAAAGTATCATTTGTTTAGTTTAGTGATTTGGGTTACAATAATTGTATCAGTTCCATTAGTCTGCTTTTCTAGCACTGGTAGTGTCGATTGAATAGCAATCGCCATCTGTGTTCCATATCTATGTACAGAGAGCTTGGGTTCGAGATTAATATTTTCATTATAATTATTGTGTAATGCCGAATAATTGACTTCTATGTCAATTGTAAATACCCCGACTTGTCTCTACTAATAATTGTTTTCCCGAGAAGTTCTGTGCATTCTTCCATTTCTCAACACACTTCTCATTGGAGACCTAGATTATTATTGACCGTAGAACACTGAAGTCATTCGAACATAAAGCTGACATTCAGTATTCATAATAAAAGTCTTATGACCTTTATTTCTATATGTCCTTCAGCCGGATCACTTGATATAATTGGTCAGCTACAGCGTATGACCAGACACATATACATCGTTCCAAGTTGTCATACCTCATTAGCACAACAAGATGAACACGATAATCATAAAAGTAGTTACTTAAGTCGTAGTAATATATAAAAGAAGGATTGTGTATAAGGATATAATACAGAAATAAACAATTAGACAGAAAGTTATAGAGTAATCTTAATCTCGCTATATAAGGGGAGACAAAGAGTGTATGCACCGACGTCATTGTTATCTATTATGAGACATTGCACCCGGGGCCCCATCCATTTGTTACGTTATTCGCGCGGACCCCATCACTACAATATGTAAACTTGACTCCGTAGAACTTTTTAACAACAGGTTATCCTGATTAACGATCAAAAATACCATTGATCTACAACACAACAACTGTTGTGTATGCTTCTGCTGTCAATAGCTGTAGACCCTGGGTTTTCATCTGAATAGTTCTTGTATATGTTACGTCTTTATGGTTAACCTATCGTAACATTTCAGGACATGTGTTGTTGGCGTCTTTGTTTATGTTCCAACTTCAAATCGATTAAATTTCACTATCACAAATACCGAACACAACTTATGTATGACACTAGGCGTTGCTACATCTATGAACTGAAGTAACCTTGAAAAGTCTAAAGGAATGTCTGCAGAAAGTCGTAGTGTTCACTAGGTGCTTTGATGTACGCAGCTTCTTTCAGGATCCACACAGCATTAACAGTGCATTTCTGTTGGGAGACGTGATGGCTTCCTGAAATCCTCCATTTTATAACATTACTTATAAATTTCTCTCATGTTACTGCACTCTCAAGTGGTTATTTTAACATTAGTTCGTGGTTCAAGCTCGCACAATCTGCTAAATTTAATCCCGGTATTCATCAGCAGGTTTAACTTTGTCCTACTCAATATTCGATAAAACTGGAAAGAGTTTGTTGAAATACTATTTGGAATCTGCCATAGGTTTCTGTGCTAAATATAAAGATTTAAAATTGATACTAGGGAGATAACCTGGTAACTTATTTTTAGAGTACATCGATCCTCTAATAGTCAAAAAGTACCCAAATTACAATAGAGCACAATTCCGCATATGTTCTCGTTAGTGGTGGTCCAACATAAATGGAAAAATTGTCAGTTTTTTAAGTTACTAAATGAAATATTCAAGGTTCTAAGAATTCATAGTTCAATAAGTGATCCTATTTATTTACAGGTATAGGTTGATTATGTGTATGACAGATAATTAGCAGTAGGTAAATTAGTGCACGGAATATCTTGGGTTTTCCTCGTGTATTGTTTGCATTATTAAAAACAAGGAATCAGTTTATGAGCGATAAACAATCGTGAAAATATTTTCGCACCTTAAATGTATACAAAATACCTTGCAATCAGTGATGTATATTTAAAATTTGAATGGTATTTTATGAAATATTGATAAAAACTATTTACGATGTATGTTCAGTCAGTCAGTAACAACGTAGAATTTCCTACCTACATACGTAAGTTCGAGTTTCCACACCACATAAGCACATAAATACAACTGTTGATCCAAATCCTATAGCGGTACAGGTAGTAATTTTTTTAGATTAATCTAAGCTGTAATCGGAAGATTAGGGTTTGAAGATGTTATTCAAGGGGTATAATCCAGTGAAATAAATTTGGAAAGAGAAAAAAGGCGTGAAGAATTCAGCAGATTAGAATTTGGGAGAGCACCTGCGCAATTGCAAACGAATTTGGGCTATGCTATTCAAGGTCTCTAATCATCGGTTGCTATCATCTCGCGGTCCCAAACCAGGTAGTCTACACCCACCAACATGGCTCAGTCCACTTGTCAGTGTTTCCGTGATTTTGTGCCATGTTTTGGTCTGGCCGCCCCTAGCTTTCTCTAACTTACTCCTACACCATAAAACATCGCACGTCCGGGTAGTCAGTCGTTGAACATATGTAGAACATTTCTCAGCCAACTTAAATGATGAATTTACACTACTTCAATTACTTTGCCATCCTTATCCAGTACCCGTTCCCAAAAATGGCAGTACTCACTCGGTAGTCCCAGGATATACGATGAATGCTTCGAAGACACCTATGATCCAACACTAGTAACCTATGAATATCCTCTACTCTTACCGGCCATGTTTCACTGCCATAAAGTAGGACGTCTAGCGGTAAATAAATCCCCAAAATAAATAGTTCTAAAATTTCGACATTGGATGCTGACCATATGTTTTAGTGGACTCATCTACCTGAAGGCGCTCAGGTCAGGCATCCGCACCAGATCACGTGTGGTAACGCCGTGCTCAACATCAACCGCAATCGCTAGCCAGATTAGATCAGAGAATTCCGATATATTGGTCATCGCCAAATATACTCTTCCGATCTCCTCGACTCTGTCTTTTGATTTCTCTGGGTGGGACCGAATTTTATTAGAAGGTGTTACTGATAGAAGCGTTGTCAAACACTGAAATCCTGTGACATCTTCAGACGGGAGGAACTGCTGCGCAGTAAACGCGTCCTTTGTTTGGTAGATGGATACCTCGCCTACGTCATAAATGACGCAAGTTGGCAGAATCTAGTCGAGCCTTCTGTATCCGTGCTGAAATTTCGTCACACACTAAACCACAAGGGCTGATGAGACTTCCAAGATAAGTGAAGCGGTCGACACACTCAACTACTTCACTCCCTATCATTTGTTTGGGTGTCATTGCAACCCAATCCTGAAGCAACATCTTGCATTTCGAGGGGGGTGAGAATCGCATCCCGAACATGTTTGCATTGTTTCTTATAGTGGTCAGAAGACTGCATTTTGTCAGCGTCTTCACCAAATAGAACTATGTCTTCGGCATATTCCAGGTCAATAAGTGAATCTCCCGGTAGAAGTTCAAACCCTGGAAATTTAGATGAGGAAAGTGGCAATTCTAAAAGCACGTCAACGAAAAAGTTAAACAAGAATGAAAGACCCTGACGAA